CAGACACGACTACAGGCTGCCAAGAGATCTCTACAAGTCCTAGGAAGACTGGAATACCATAAATAAGTGAAGTGAATAACAAGACAGAACTAATTTTAGCTCGAGTCTAAATAATAATTAGCTCTTAAACAGCTAATCCAAAGGCTACTGCAAATCTAGAGCATGTTGGGATGACTAGAGAGAGGGTCATATTTGGACTGCCCACCTGGGCTGGACAGTGCAGAGGAAGGAGATTTGGGATTTCTAAGAACAAAGCTTGGGGTTTAGGCTATCTGCACTGACAGGTGAGTGAAACAAGAAACGGCACCAAGTGTGAGAAGCTCACTGGCCACCCCAGAGCTGGAGGAGCCATGCAGTACCCAGCTTGTAGGTCTGGGGCAATAAAATATTGCTCATTATTTTTCAGAGCCTTGAATTTTAGGGCTCTCATTTGCCTGGTGAGGTGAGAAAGAGTTGAGACTAGTTGAGTGGTGAGTATCTGAGACAGTCCCCCATACACATGAGCATGCACATGAGGGAAAAAAAAAGAGCCTTTCTGTTTGAGAGGAGGGAACCACAGTGACTGGCCCTATAAGCACATGTATTAATCATGCACCGTCTGGTTTTAATCCACACACTGCTGATCCTGCGTCTCACTGTATTGTTATCAGGGGAAGGAGTATTTCTCCTCAATCTTATTCACCAGCCAAAAGCCTGAAAATGCAAAAAACACATTTGTGAAGTGCCTTCCCAAGGACCCTGGGCCCCGGACCTGGTGAGCTGGGGCTGTTGCCTTTTTATTGGCGTTTAAAAACCTTTTATTAACGTGTGTCAGGGCTGGGGGAGGAGAGACAAGCTCAGGTTTCAGGACCCCCCATGCAGAGAGGTTTATTGTGGGAAGGGACATTAACACTTTCTCCTCCACATCTCCCCATGGCTGGGGCATGTGGCAGAGGGTGTGCTGCAAGCACAGGCTCGAGTGATGCACATGCTGAGCCCATGAAGAGTACACAGGGATGTGGGCAATCTGTGATGGCCTGCAGAGAGGAGAACCTCCCTGTTCTGCTCCATGATGGGGAACAGAGCCCTCTTCCAGCCCTGCCACCAGCTTCAAGGGGTCACTGCAGAGCAGGATGCTGCTGCAACAACAGGATTCAGCAAGAGCTGAGGAATCCAGGACATGCCCCAGGTTCCCAGAGCTGCACCCACGCACAGCTCAGATACACCATCACTAGGACTCACTTTAACCTCAACACGACCCAAGTGCTTTCCATTACCAGTCCCCCACAGCAGCACCATGAATCCATAGTTGCTACGTTCCTTCTTCCCAACCCTTAGTCCAGCCATGCTGCTGCTCCCTGCTCTTGCCTTGGGTACAAAGCTGGGTAAGGAGGTCCTGGCAGTGTCTCCTTGGGCTGCAAAGGCTGCAGACACAGCTGACAGCTCAGGCACCAGGCTGCATAGTTTGCTGCTGACTGGTACGTTCGATGGTGTTCCATCACACAAGCTGCAGTGGATATCTGCCCAACATACGCCCAGGAAAACAGCACCAAGTTATGCTCACCCCGGAGCCAGCTTTAGTTGGTTACAGCTTCAATGACAGTGCAAGAGACTATGGGAAGCTCTAAGTGTCCCACTGGCTCCCGCAGGAATCCAAACGCGCAGCTTCATGGCAGTGAACAGAGTCAGAACATTTTCACTCAAAATAAGAGCCAGGCCAAATGCTCAAAAACTTGCTGAGAAACTCTGGCTGAATTCTGCACTCCATCTGCTAAATGGGACGTGGAGAACAAAAAGGAGTGGGAAGCACAGTGTTTGTCCTATACAGCTTACAAAACAGCCACTCTCTTGGTGGAGCCAATAACTCATCACCATTTTAAGCCCAATACCATCCAATTTTGCCTTTCAACGGATTCTTGTCCTCTGAAATGCTACAAATTAATTAAAAACTAGAGGGTAAAAGCATGGGGCAAGGATTTGGAGCATCAGCAAGCCAGGTGAGAGATTACCCTTGCAGTAAAAAGCCAACTGCCTCTTCCTAGCTATGCAAGTGAAGGAAGGTGAACTTCCCAGAGCCACTCTGGCACACCAGAACCCTCCTCCCAGCACACAAGATATTCACAGGGTGCCATATGAAGAGCAGTACACTTCATTGCCTCTCCAGCAAAGAATTTGGGCTGAAAACCGGGCCAAGACTGAGAACACAAGCGAGAGAAATTGGGTGCAAAATATAACTCCTGCTAAAAAGCAATGAAAAATCAGTATGGGAAAAAAATCAGTGCCAGAGAGAGCTGCTCTGCAGCAGTGCCTGCTGCCATGGCCTGACTGAGGCTCAGGGATACAGATCCCATCATGTCACCATACTCAGCATGGACACACACCCTTCCACTGCAAACAGCACAGAGATGCATCTCACAGACTCACAGAACGGTTTGGGTTAGAATGGACCTTAAAGCTCATCTCATTTTAACTCCCCTGCCATGGGCAGGGACACCTTCCACTAGACCAGGTTCCTCCAAGCCCCATCCAACCTGGCCTTGAACTGATCAATCCAACTGGATTCATTGTGGCTCTGCATGCCAAAAGGAGGGCAGGGAGCAGATGGTGAACTGGAGATTGCACACAGGGACTCCCAGTTTAAGCTGGATTGGGGGTTTCTTTGCAGGGTGAGTGCCTTTTTGTATCTTGCAAAAGGCACATGGGTTGATGCCTCAGTCACACCATCCTAGATTGGTCTGCAGTGCCTTCTGCAATACCTCACCTCTGCAGAGTCAAATTATTCCCTTCATTAATACTGCAGAGGAGAAGGTTGGTGGAACAGAGTGGTTGGTCATTTGACTGTAATGGTGCAGCTGCTGTTCCAGACCCTTTCTACAGCATTACCAAATCACAGATAACAGGGTAGGAGCATTCAGAGAGGTCACTTTGACTCTTTTTTCAAAGTGTTTACCTCAACCCAAGTTGTACCTGAAAGAGCCATCCAGCCTGCTTTTAAAATCTCCAAGGCTGAAGAGTTTCTGCAGAATCGCTAAGGAAACTGCTCTCAAGTGCTTAACTACCCAAAGGTATGAAACCTTTTCTAAAGTCTTGTCTTAATCTATTTTGCTGCAATTTATGCCCATTCCTTCCTGTGCTTTTCAGCATGGAGCTGGAGGACAACTTGTTCTCTTCCTCTCTGCATTTTCCCTGAATTTCCTCTAGATTAAAAGCCTCAGGTCTTCCAGACCCTTCTTGGAAGTCAGGCTTTTGAGCTCTCTGCTCCAACTCACTGGCCTCCCATTCATCCTCTCGGGTGTTCTCTGCACAAGGAACATGCACACCTGCTGTTTCACCTGTCTGACCACTCATGAAAACACTGCTCAGAAAGAAATAAGGGGCAGGTCTGGCTGCTTCCCTCTGGGATCTCTGCTGCCTTTTCAGCAGAGCTGAGCTGGTAATACCACGCCTGGTATTCCCAGATGCCTGGGTGACTGTTGCTGAGCTGTGAGGGCACCAGCTCCCACCTGTGGAGTTGTGCAGTTTCTTTATAAGGCATCAAAACCAAAGGAGGCTGGGACAGGGGGACCTCAGTTTGGAAGCTCAAGTGTAGCTACAGGACAAAGACATGTCTCTTCTTTTACAAAGATGAGTGCAAGTGCCTGGCAGGGCAGGTAGATGGCACTCCGAATAAACTGGTGTGTGACTGGAAGAGGCAGAGCTCAGGGAATATTGACCCCTTCCCCATAACTTATGGGGCACCAGGCAGAGCTGATCAGCCATCTCACCTGCCTTCTGGGTGCTCTGGTTTGTGGCTGCTGGGGAAAGAGGCTATGTGCAGGGGGGGGACTGTCCTCAGCAGAATCCTCACAAGGCCACCACAAGCTTTGGGTGAACAGGCTACCTTAGGGCAGCAATGGCAACCGCATGCTTCTTATTTTAATTCCATCAAACAGAGCCGTGAAAATCCATTTTTCCACAGTGACTTCCTGGACTAAGGTGCTACCCCAAATGGGGAAGGCTCCTGGTTTTACTGGGACTCTGTGCTCCTCTGCTGCAGGTTGGGCAGACAGAGAAGTGAAACAGAAATTCGCACCTTTGGGTCCCTCTGTGAGAAAGGTCCAAAATTTCTCACTGTCATTTCAGGAAAATGTCAAGAAGAAGTGGCACATGGGAAGGATGTTGCCACCATCACATGCAGGCTCTCCACAGAAACCTGCCTCTGCATCCCCACTTCTCCCCTTGCAGCACCAACCACTCAGGAGGGTGATGCTGCAGCTTCCCAGATGCAGTGCATTTCTGGAGCTTCGATTCTGCCTCTGAGCAGGAAACTGTTGAGAGCCACTCTTATCCTGCCGTGCCTCCAAGGGCACACAAAACAAATGCCATTGTGACTCCTCCATCCCCCATCAGGTTCAAACATGTTCTCCAAGTGCAGCCCCCAGGTCCCTCCTGGCCAGGTGGTGGCAGAGAGCAGACCCAAACCCCACATCAACAAGGGAACTGATTTCATTATTCTAAAAACAAACAGCCAAAGGAAAGTTCAGGCTAGAATGGGCTCCTAGAGCAAAGAAAGGAAAATAGAGAGAGGGCAGTGGGGAATGCTTCATATTCCTAAAAGCCTTTTGTACGTTAACACATGGTGTCTGCTTCTCTCTAGTCACCTATTTATCACTCTCCTCTTTAGAGAAGGAAAAAAGTCCTGGCTGCCTTCCTAAGGCAGAGTTTTGTGGCCGGGGGGAGGGGGAGGGTGCTTTAAGCATGATGCAAACCATTTGGAGTGCACCGAGAGCTCTGCCAACACAAGCTGCACTATTTAAACAAGTGAGGAAATGATCGTATATACAACATGCCAGCGAGCACACACACACCAGAGGAAGTCGAGAGGGGTTTTCATGACACAGAGCTGGATGTCAGCGGCTGAAAGGTCGATATTTTCCCTTAACACCCTTCTCAATGACTTAATCGTGTTCCGTTTGCACAGAAAACTTCCCAAGAATAAAAGTCTGGAGGAATCGAGGGGGGATGTTTGGCCTACTGCTGACCTTGTCCGAGGTCCTCTCCACGTAGCAGGGCTCCTGGGGGGCGACCAGCAGGGGAACGAAGCCCGAGAGCAGCCGATCCTCTTCCAGGCTAAGCAGGGCAAGGTCGTCATCTGGGTCCTTGTACAAGGGCACCTCCGACTGATTCACTGTGGTCAGTATGTTACAGAAGTCAGCCAGCGTCGCCCACACATCTACTGAGACCCTGGGAGAACGAGGAGAGACGTGAGCAATTCGGGGCTGGAATGCGTTGGGAGTTGCCTGCAATGCTGCAGCGAATACCAGAGAGGTGAGGCGAGGCGAGGCACGACACCACTGCTGCCCTGCCCCACGGGAGGGCTCCGTGCAGCTGTGCTGGCACCGAACCCAGCAGGGATTATAGCCCTCACCCGCCAGCACTCACACCGGCCACCCTGTCCCCCTGGATGGGGCTGCTTCCCGGGATCTCACCCTTCCCTCTGCTCTGCCCACCTCTGCCCACTCCTGAGCTGGCACATCCGCAGGAGGCAGCTTCCCCGTGCAGTGCCGGCAGGAACCCAGCTAATTCCAGATGGGAGCAGTGATGCTCGTTACTCAATTCAAAGCCTGCTGGGAGGTCAGACTGAACACCCACACTGCTGTCGGGGCACAGGGGGCTCTGGGAGGGCTCCAATCCAGCCCAGGAGGCTCCAGCTCAACCCAGGGCACCCTCTCCTTCGCACGACAGTTATCTGCTGCAACCACGTGCTGCAGCCACACTCTACAGCACAGAGATTTTCTCAGTTAAACCCCAGCCATGGAGGGTTAAAGCTGTGTTTTGCTTCTGGCCACAGTTTCAGCACTCACGAGTGACCTGCAAAGCTGCCTCTGCCGTGTCTCACCTTCCCTGAGCGGCAGTGATGTGTGGGGAGCCGCGGGTGAATACGAGGCCACCGGCAGTCCTAGACTGCCCTCTGTGCATTCCCATCACACATCCCCATGGCTGAGCACCCCAGGGAGTGTCCAGCACCCCAGAGAGTGCCAACACGGGGGAAGCAGGCAACAAGAATGGGGGCACTGCAGCTGACCAGGCTGCCTCGCTCTGTGTTTCTTCCTCCTGCTTCTAAAAACACTCAGATTGGGATTATTTTAAGGAAATAAACTGGGATGAATGCAGGAAACAGGGGAAACTGGGGCTGATCTGCTTCTGGTGGCAATAAGGAGGGCTGCTCCCCCACCCCACACCTCTGGGGCACCAAAAAGCACAGAGAAACCAGCATCACCAGGGGAGAAGCAGTGACCGGTGAGGGCCGAGGCAGCTCAGGGCTGGAGGGAGGCCCCCTGCTCTTTGAACTGCTCCAGGTGGACAGAGTCTGCACTTGGTTATTTACGGGAATCAATGTACCAGGAAAGCACACTGAAATGAAACATCTTGTTTTCAAGAGCGTCCTGGGAGCCAGGCAGAATGAGGAGCCATTAATCAAAGCCCGGCACGTAATCAGCACACATGTAACGCAGAGTCGCCCACGTCCCCGAGCCAGCCCTGAGCCCGTGCACTGCAGAGGAGAAGAGGTCCTACAAAACCCTCTGGTCACAGACACCAGGAGCTGGGTTCATTCACAAAGCTCCATCGCTTGGCTCAGCCAGGTCTGGCTGTCAGAAATGTTTAAATATGGAAAAAAATAAACAGTTGCAACACGTTTTTTCGGAGGGATCTGTCCGAGGCCCTTTGTGATGTAATGGGAAACGCTGCGTTTGTGCTACCAGCTGGAAAATAAACAGAGCTGCGAGGGTTAAAAGGAACTGAACTTTCCACGACCCCTATCTGCAAAAGAAGAAAATAATAAGAGGAATGATCCACTGCCCCACAGCCCTGATAGTTTATCCTCCGGCCCAGGCTGCAGAGACAAGCACCGGATGTGATAGGGCTGCTCTGGGCCACCTCCAAGGCAAGCTCTGCCCATGGGAGATGCACAGGGCTTGGGAGGCTCAGCCTCCCCCAGTGCCCTGCTGGCAACTGGGCTCAGCTGCCTGAGGCCGGTCACATAGCACTGGTGGGGCCCCACGGTCAGGCTGCCACGAGGGCTTGGCTGGGATGAAGGAGGTGCAGGGGCTGCAGGCATCAGCAGGGAGAGAAACGGGCAGAGCGCCTGCAACTGCCAGGGAATGAGTGCACTGGGGTGTTGGGGACAGGCATGGATACAGAGGATGTTCCCAGGGGGCTGGGACAGCCAGGTGCATGGGGCCAGAGTGCAGGAGAAGGGAAAGAAACACATTGCAGAGATCCTGCCTGTATTCCCAAAAAACCAGAGCTGCAGACAGGGGACAGAGATGAGCAGCGACGGTGGGAGGGAGGCAGAGGGCAGAGGCAGGATGCTGGGCTGGACTGGTATATGCAACAGGGCAGGGGTAGTGGTGAGGTGAAGGAGCAGCACAAAGTACAGGAAGTATCTCCTTCCACAGGGCTTGGCATCCAAACCCAGAAAAATGCCACATGAACAGTCACTGAACTGACATTGCTAATGCCCTTGCAAGCACCCAGCACAGTGGTCCACTCTCCTCTCCCTGCTGACAGCACTGCCAGGCAGAGCACTCCTCACCACCCCTGAGTGTGAGAGCAGTCCCTGTCACTCCATCCTTCATCCACAGCTCCCCACAGCTTTGCAGTGCCTTGCCACATCTGCCATTTGCCCTGGATGTGACAGGTTCCTACCCTGGGCTTGTTTCAGTCAAACCCCAAGCCTGTGCTGGCTCCCCAGGTAGCCAGATCTCACTGCAATGCTACCCCAGCAGCTGGGCAGTCCCTCTCACATACAGCACCCTGCAGAGCCTTCAAAAAGCCAATAAAGAAGAAGTGTTTGCATTTCTGCTCTGGTTTTCTCCTGTGATGGCAGAGGCAGCACTGCAGAGATAGGTCTGACCGTTTTCTGCCATCCCCTCAGGTGCAGCTCCTCCTCTGCAGCACATCTCCCAGTGATGCCACCACCAAGATCATTCACTGGCTGCTACCTGCTGGCAAAGCAAGCGAAGGCAAACAGCTCCTGCCAACACATAACGGCCCTGCAGATTCCCTGCTGCGGTGTGCACTCGCCCTGGAAGATCACACAACACTTGGGAGCCTTGTCATGTGTCTTCTCCCCACTGCCCCTGCCCAGGACCACCCCACAGCCACCCCCAGGCAAAAAAAAAGCACAGCAGTGCCAGAACCTCTCTGCAGAGCCCAGGCAGGCCCAGGGGCCTGAAAGCTCTGTGCACACAGTGCCATGGCTTTGACATCCCTCTGCAGAGTGAGGCTGCAAATTACTGACACGGAGCCCAGGCACGTAGCTCCCAGGTACAGGGACGAGGCTCCCAGAGCTTTTAACCGAGGAAGCAAGAAGGGGGTTAGCGCGAGGTCTTTCCTCAGAACGGGGGTTCATTCACTTCCCCACAGACACATTTACATTTGCTTATTCCACTAGGACAGGAAAAAAAATAAGAGTTAATTTCTTTTTTATTGCCTCAGGATTCCAGGTTTAATGTAGCTGTCAGTGTGAGCGCAGCCCAGCTGCACACCGACGGGACACGGCCCAGGCAGAGGGGAGAGCCGTACAAGTGCGCAGAGAGCTGGACCACGGCCCCGGGGCTGAGTGTGGCCCTGGCGAGGCTGGACACAGCCCCTGGCAAAGATGATGCCCACACGGGCAGCACCACAAGGCAAAAGGCATGCACTAAAGCGTGGGGAGAGCAGAGGGTGCCAGGCTGAGCCTGATGCTCACCAAATCCCCGCGCGGCACTCCCGCGTCAGCACCATCTTCACCGGGGGCGCGCGCTGCCTGGTGATTAATATCGAGCACAATGACCCCATGTTACAAGCCTGCGGGGGCCTGTGGAGGTGGCCATTTCCTGTGTAATACCAGCTTGTTTAAACACTAACATCCAAACTCCACAGCTGCAGAACAAACCCGGAAAGCGCAGCGCAGAAGAAGCCCTGCATTGTGTTCCCAGCCG